GGACAGCGCTCCGACCAGGAGACACGGCAGCACGTCCGCACCACCGGAGAGGGCTCCTGCATCCACCTCCGGCGACCGTGTCCCCAGGCTGGTTCGGTGTCCCGGCACAGGACAGTGCTGCAAACACCCTCTCGAAGCACGCTCAGGAAAGCGGACTGCGCCCGACATCCCCCTCCCTGAGTGAAGCAGCTCTGGGCTTGGTGAGATGCCGGGGCAGAGCCAAAACCCTCCCGGTCAACTTCAGCGGCTGCTACAGAAGCGGGAAAAGCAGTTTCAGTGTTCTCACTCCTTCCCACCCCAACAGTTTTCTGCAGGATCCCATCTCAGACCAGTGGAACACGGTCACGAACAAGTTTCATTCATGATAAAACCCTAAACTCACTCAAATCTCAATTTAGTTTTTTGGTTTTTTTGTTGTTTTTTTTTTTTTCAAGCCTCTGTCAATGTACGTTCAATGTATTTTTTTAAAAAAAAAAAAAAAAAGGAAAAACCAAAACCAAAACAACATTACCTGCTTGAACTTTGTTCTTTTGATACTGTGGAACACAGGTTTCAGTACAGAACAGCTTTAACAAACAAAACCAGTGTGTCACACACGAGCAACCCAGCTGAGCTCACTGTACACATTTTCTTGCTCTGTGTCTGATCATAACTGAGTCTGTAACCAGTCTGACATCTGGAAAAAAGCCAACCCCTCTACCCCAGCACAATAAAAGTGCCTACCCACCTCCCCCCCAACACAACCCGCCCTGAGCAAGCACCTGCATTACAGACTGACATCAGCTGCACCTGAAATACCTCAACGACCCAGCTCCCCCGAAACCTGCCCTTTCTCCTGGGGAAACAGAACTTTATCAAGGTGACAATTAAGGAACATTAACCCTCAGGCCGCGCAGAGGATCACCACCATTCAAACCTGCATCATGTCACTATGACAAACATCGGGTTCTACCCAGCACCACTCTGCAGACTTGGTATTGCACAACGTTACCTGCAGCGATGGCTCCTAATCCGATTGCGACAACAGTAAATCCTTTGCTGCTCCTGCATGGCAGAAACATCTGGAGATCCCCCAGGCACGCAGATCGCTCTTAATCCTTCTTTTCCCACAACAAGAACAAACTGACTTTCAGGGGAATTCCAGAGAGATTTCATGCAAAATGAATCTTTCAAATAACCGCTCGGCATTAGTGATTTCTGTGTGGGGTGTGCTGTTGGGGCGCAACAGGTAAGAACTCACAGATCTCGCAAAGGACACGGAAAGAAGCAAGCCTTTATCCTTGCAGACCGTACAGAGTCAAGTGTTGAAAGAACCGTTTACATGGAAGAGTAAAAGCATATAATCTGCCGAGTGCAGCATCATTTTTGTCACAGGAGGGAAGCCTTTCCCAGTACCGTGGATTCCTCTAGATCCCTCAGCACTGGGCTTACAGGATTCTATTGCAGGAAAAATTGTCATTTAAAAACTAGTATCCAGTGTTTCAGTCAGGAAAACTGACTTCAGATGACATGGAAGAGTAGCGGAAGACAGCCTGAAGCAAAAGCTGCTCAGACCTACCATATCTGATATGGCTGTAACGTACTAGCCAAGAGCCACTTGCTTTTACAGTAACCTGCTCTGAGAATGGCTCTCGCCTAAAAGAAGCCTATTTGCCGCATTCTTCAGTTCAGAGCTTCTCCTTTCCAGCAGCATTCAAGATCCTTTCGTTTTACCTGTCCCCATCCTTCTACATACAACGTTCATACAATACACCCGGCTGGATCCCTCTGCTCGCTGCCACTTGATATTCTAAACGGGACAGTCTCTGTGCCTGCTTGTCAGTCCATTAGGCGTGACCAGTCCATCCAATTCTTAAAAAATAAATGCCATTCCTTCTGAAGTTTTTTTTTTAATCATGCAAGTACTTCAGGAAGGCAGCTGAAGCTGGCATCAGACTGCAACTTCAGCTTTTTGAATGACTTCTTCCATACGCTGGTACCAAGGCTGAATCTTGGTGTTAACCATCATGTCGTCAAAGGCTTCCAGCCCTTCCATGACTCGGAGGACCCCGTACACTGCCTGTGTCGGAGGATAAAGATTAGAACAACACTGAAAGAGTCAGTGGTGGAGAATGGCTTAGGGTACCAAAGAGCGGCTCAACAGCCTAACCAGGAAGGCTCTTCCCCTGTCCCGCCATCAACTCCGCCACTGAGACTAGCAAGGAAGACTGAATGGCAGAAAGGCAGTTAAGAATATGCATTTTTTTTTCCATGACAAAACAGTAAGGAAAGATCAGGATCTACATTCAGTTATGGGGCAAAAGTTAATTCCCATCTTTGGATCAAGCCTGGGTGTGAAACGCTTCACTTCCATTCCAGGGAGAACTGCTAGTGCAAGGGACGAATCCTGCTCCACCTTGCACCGCGGCCTGCAAAGGAAACCCCAGCAGCACTGAATGCAATAACCCCTGTGCAGGTGTGAGGCTTTATTCACGAGTCAAAGCCTTGTCCTGGGTTGTAACCTGCTTTTATCATGCTTCCACATGATCAGTAACATCCACCTACAGACAGGAACTGCAGGTTCCATCTTTGGAAGGGCTTCTCTGGAGAAAAACAACAAATACCACCCTATGCAACACCAGTATTTCTAAATCCTCTTCATGTAGGAATTGTATTACTGCACAAAGGACATGGGCAATCTCACATAACTCATCTTCTCTGTCTATATCGGTATTAACCATTTCACATGGATAAGCAACTGGATAATTTGTAATGGACCTAAAAATAACTGCAGGAATTAACCCCTTACCAAGTCAGCAAGGTTTGGCTGGTTTCCACCCATGAACAGTCGATGTTTGCCGACAGCTTTTACCCATTCGTTAACTGCTTCATACAAGTCTTCTCGGACATCATCTTGAAGGTGATGTCTGGGAAAAAAACCAAAACAAAACTAGCTTGCAGACACTGGTTTGTTCATTTCTTTAACCTTTTATTATCTCTCATCTTATGGGCTGGTCTTTGCCTGGGAATTATGAACATATTTGAGAGTGAAGGGGGCAGTTAGTGATTAAATAGTAATAAGCAGAGAGGTCCAGTACCTCCCGTTGAAGAAGCACAGCTGTTACTCACATCTGATTAAATGGTTTAGTTTAAAACACTGAGGTTCTGCCCTTTGACATCTGGGGTTCACAGCTAAGGAGGTTAAGGAGCTATTCCTTTTGTGTACTTGGTGCTTGGTGGTACCAACCTTTTCTTCAGCCTCTTGCTAATGAAGAACATGGCAACAGCCCCCATGTACTTGGCAAAGAAACCTTCCACGGTGCCAAACTTCCCCTCACGGACAATGTAATCAAAAGATGCCAAGGCTTCTCTGGGAGTACGGTAAACATTGGGGGAGATGAGGTGAACAAGCCAATCGTCTGCCCATTTTCTCCACTTCATTTCTTCCCTGCAAGCATTCAAAAGAGACTTTTCAGCGAGCCACGTACAGATTGCAGGGCTACAGAAGGCAGGCAGAATCACAGTGGCATTAGCCAGAGGTCCTGCCAAGGACACATGTGTCAAAAACTCCTGCCCAGCCTTGTGCTCTGGTGACCTCTCTGAAATGCACTCAGGATCATTATCTTTGCCAAGGCTCCTCCAATCTCAGACTAAAATTAAGACTAAGATAGAGTACTAGTTTCTCCTCCCAATATGAGAACCAAAGCAGAAAAGGAAACTAGCACTCCATAGCATTCCTCTGTGACTTAAAGGAAAGGCCAAGAAGGAAACTGAAGGCAACTGAAGGCTAGCATGACCATGATGGTGATAACTTGGCCGTCTAACAGCATTGTTTCAGATTATGTAAGAAACACAGCAAAACCACTCTAACTCTTGAGGTTTTAAACACTAAGGAGGTGACAGGATTTGTCAGCACCAGTGGGATTTTATACGTGCACCATTCCTGAGTACATCTGGAGGAGGCTGTGACCCCACGTGGAGAGCCCAGAAACTTAAGAGCACTTACACTCTCACTTCTTTGACAGGATAGATTCGCTTTGTCTCCTTCTCATCCAGCATGAGCCAGTATTTATTCCCATACTCAAATACCTCCTTGCCTTGGTCAGTGACAGTTTTCATAGGAGGATAAAAGGACACAATCTCTTCTAAGCTATTCCTCCTGTGAACAGAAAGACAGTTAGCACTGATCTTGCCACAACAGAAATGAGTGGATCAGACGACGGATCAAAAGATACACACTTTAAAGTGTTTTATTCTAAAAATGAGTGCATGAAGCTCCTAGTTCTATTTGAAATAAATTTTGAAAAGACTCTAGAACAGCTACTTGCAAATAACTATTATTAGTGTACATATCTTTCTCTGTGTCAGAAGAGAAATTTTTGCAGGCATAAAACTTCCTACCATTCGCAAGTGCTTTGTAGCATGAACATAAAGGACGGGCCACAGGCACAGCAATTTCATTTCATTCTAAATGTTGTAACTGGCTAAATGTAAGCTTAATTCCAGAACTAATGCCAGTCCATCTTTAAGGAGGTTTTGTGCAAAAGAGAATCTCACAGGTGAAAAAAAGAGTAGTTCTGAAGCTTTGCTTCACTGCACACACATCACAATATATATAGGCGCCATCCACACCATCACAGCCAGGGTCAGGTCTGCTGCGCCAAACACCCAGAGCTACAGAGACCAAGGTCAGCAAGATACTTATGACCAACTCTGACAGAGTCTCCTCAATCTCTAGTTTGCTAGGACCACTCACATTCAACTGCTCTCACATCATCCCGTTTTCTTACTTGGAAATGAGATAGGTCTTTATTGCACTGATGATCACCGAAGAGTCATTCAATTGCTGAAAAACAGAATTAAAACAAACTTTTAAAAGGAGCTGGTGAAGTTGAAAAGAAAACTCTTCATAACCTTTTCCCCTGCATGCTGAGGCTCCAGATTAGTACTGCAGTCCCTTTTCCCCCCATGCATTTCCACACGAGTCCCTGCACATCTAAAGACAGACCTACATTCAGATCTCCTCTGTGATTGTTTCAGAGTATCGCTTCAAAATTTGTCTTTCATTCTGACAACGGAGAGTCTGAGGGTCAGGTACTCATGCAATACTAGCACGTTTTGAATTTAGGCTCTTGGCAGCGAAGGAGGAAAAGCAACACTAACATAAAAAAAACCCCTAAGTTTAACCTTCAGTATTCTTGAGATGTCATTCTTTTCCCACAAGATATAAGCAGTTCCTGCTACCGCTGGTACAAATGATATGTCCTGCATAAGGGCTGATAGAAGCTACATAATCACTGGATTACAGAGTCACTACACAAACAACATGCCTCCTAAGAAAGGCCAACAAAAAATTTTAATAAGGCCAAGGCACATGAAATCGTGAAGGGGGAAACAAATCTTGGACTCTTGAGAGAATAAAAGATGACTTAAAGATTACACTGCATGTGATAAACCACAGAGGCATGACAGAGACAAGCCTCCAAACCACTGCTTGCAGGGAAATCAAGCTTTCAGCACAGTAAAACTTACCAGAGGGCTTCCAGCATTGGCTAGCAGGATAGGCACCTTTCTGTAGGAAGAGAATTTTATCTCTTTCCTCATTATCGGGTTCACTTCCACAATTTCATAGGGCAGTCCATGATAATCAAGAAAGGCTCGGACTTTGCTGCAGAAAGGACACGTTTTATACTGGTAGAGAGTGAGCTGCAGACTCCCTGCAGGTAGCTGGGGAAGGAAGAAACCAGAAGCTTCCATTTTCTACTAAAAATATAAATATTACTTTCTTCCACCCTTATTTTTGTCATAAAGTCATGGTCGTTGATCTTCAGTTTCAACATCTGATCAAAATATCTTGGCTATCAGATGCTTTCTTCAAATGGCATCACAAATATTCACCTCCCATTGGGACCAAATGCTTAATTTTTCTAAACAGCTATTTGATCTGCTAGAAACTCCCACTCACATCCAGAAAAAAGGAGTTAAATCCAGACAGCTTACCCCTCTATACATAATTCTGAAACTAAAGAAAAACACAACCATATTTTGATCATCTTTACATCAAAGCCAAAATTGCCTTTTAAATCCAGTTTCCTTCCTTCCCCCCCCATAACCTCTGTTGAGGCCACAGGGTGGGGAGAGCAGAAAGAGAGTTTGCTGTTGATTTTAGGCGTGCATCTGCCCCAATTCAGGTTCTTGGCATTGACCAACCTGTACACAACCCAGACAAGGCAGGGAGAACCCAGGGCAGCATCAGGTGAGGGATGTTTCACAACACTGCTATACTTCAGCGATCTGACAGGCCACACCAATCCTTGATCATACATTATAAAACAAATACTTCTTATGTAAAACGTTGCTTCTCATTTGCCATTTATTGGGTTACACAACCCTCTGTGGGTGCTCGGAAAAAAAAGCAACAACAGACAAGGCTGCCACACATCCCCAGCAAGCTCTCACTTTCTGACGGGCATTCCTTACAGCTCCTCAAGGAGAGTGCTACCGAGGCCTCTTATATATAATTTTAAGCGGTTTCCTCACTGAAACCGGACCAAAACCAACCGCTCCGCGCCCTCCCCGAAGCTCCGTCTCCAGGGGCTCGCCGTCGCGGCCGTGCGCGGGCCCCGCCAGGGCTCGGGGGCGAGGGAAGGGGCAGGCTTTCGGGGAAGCACAAGGGGGGGATGGAGACGTCCGGGAGGGGAGGAGAGCGCGGCCCGCGGGCGGGGGGGAGCCCCC